CTCAAGATGCAGAAGTAACCTTGGCCTAATAGAGGAATTCATGAAAGAATTCTCCTTGTCTGGCTGTCCTAGGTCTCTCGTTATAGGATGAAGGTGCAGTTGGAAACTTCACGATGGTATAAATGCTTTGGTTGCCTAAACATCCTCATTAAACTAAAATTAGGGATTGATTTTTGATAKCGAGGAAGAAGAGAGGCAGAACAAACCACCGAGGAGAATTTTAAACACAATGTCCACCTTGAAATAACTATTCCTACGTTAAAATGTTGAATATTTTTAATAAGATATAGGCAATTGTTTAAGTTTCTAACCACTGATTGAAATAATTATAATGAAAAATTAATATCATTAAAAGAAACTTCTGTAAGAGAATAAAGTTAATAAGAAAATGATAATAAAAATTAGGTAAGATAGAAGGAGAGATGAATTGGATTTAAACACAAGATTGAAAAGCAATTAAATGATCTTTAAAGCATTAAAAAAAAAAAGAAAGAAAATGAAATAGGAAAAAAATAACAAGAAAGAGTTAGTGTCCTTAAAATCAAGTCCTAAAATCTGTGAGAAAAACATTGGGAATCAATAACTAAACAGTCTTAAAATATCAGCAAATGAGTCCCCAACACATGCTTATTTTCTGTCTCTATCCTTCTCAGAGTAAAGGCTAATTATCACTTGAAAAAAAAATAGATCAACCAAACACAATGAGTAAGGAACAAAACATATAAAAGGAATGAATACTGTCAAATTGACAAAATCATTAGTAATGGTACTCAGGGAGAAGAAAGTTTCAACCAAACAAACTCTCTAACATTAGTAAAGTGTAAATCTATAACACTTTTATAAATCCACCTGGCAGTCTTATTAAAACCCKTTGGTTTTGAAGTAGTAAATTAACTGCAGGTATTCTGACCTAATGAAATAACTTGCACTCAAAAGAAAGCTTTATGATAATAATTGCTCCTATTTATGAATCATGTACTTTATGCACCAAATAGCCACTCTTTACAAGAGAAATGATACTCTGACACACAAAGAGCAAAGCAGTAATGTTGGAGCCCGGCATGTAAGGTGTTGACTACCTTACTTTGAATGCTCATGCTAGCAAAAGGGAAGCAGTAAACTATATTACAGTATCTTTGCATGGTGGAATATTATGTAATATTAAAAATGAGGTTTATTTACAATTTGCTATAATATGGGAAAGTGCACATGAAACCACAAGCAAAAAAGCAGCATGCAGAATCCTACGTAAAGAATACGCTCCGAAAGGCTCTATTAAAGGCCAGCAGTAGCTGTCTTTAGTGAGCGCAAAAGTGGTGAGTTTGTTCTCCTTCCTTTACATGTTTTCCATAAAGAACATTCACTGCATTAAAACATTTATGCTTTTCTTCATATTTTTAACTGCAAAAAAATAGTGAAAATTTTAGATAGTGAACATGCCTGATAAAATGTGAACCCCTTCAACACCAGAGATAATCCCTATTTAAAGTTTGGTGTGTATTAATATATATTCTAGCAGATGTTAGTACATACACGGACTTATGCATTGAAATTATATGGAGTGTATTTTTTAAGATAAATGGAATTCTATTAAATATATTATTCTGCAATTCGCTTTTTCCAGTTAATAAGATACCATAGATAGCTTTCCATTACTTTTCTAATCAGAATTTTATTTTATATCATTACTATTAATGTGAAGAATACTTTTCTATTATGCATAGAAGAAGTATGTAGGAACCAGCAGCTCTGTGTGGAAAAGGCGTATTTCCAACAGTTCTGCTACATTAGGCCATGGGCTGGCTTTAGTTATTTGTTTCTAAGAATTAATGAATGAACGGAAAACGCCCCTGCCTAAACTCTTGAAATAAAACATAAATTAATTGCTCTTTCACTTTTTCTTTGCCCATTTTTTTAGATGGTAAAAAGTTATAATAGTCAAATACACCTTGAAGTATAAGAGTATCATTCTGTAAAGAAAAGAATAAGCAAAACACAAAACAAAACCAAAAAAATCACACACACACACACACACACACACACACACACACACAGCTTTTGATGTATGGAACCAAGAGTGTCTCCAGGTCTTTTCATGATTTATACATGTAAATCTTATTCAAACTTGACTTATAGATATATTTCTTTGTTCTTAATAAAAGAGCAAAACTTGATACAAGAATATTTTGTTAAATATAATTATCAGAAGCTCAAGATAATGGTATTTCTTCTCTACATGTGTAAGTAGCAATATGCATAAAATGCAAAATAAAAATGTCCCATTTAAACACATTATGAAGACCAAAGTGGGAAATGCCACCTGAACTTATTTTATAAATGAATTGCACTTTCTAGATTAACAAAACACATGAAGACAATAATGATCATCAGGCCCTAATTGGAGCACAGCTGGTCTAGGAGCCAGTACTCAGGCTGATACACTTGGACCAAACAGACCATGTCAACCAAAGGAACCCCAAGGGCCCTTATTCCCAGGTGTCGGCTCTTGCAGTTTCAGTAGACTTCATTAAATGTTACTCGTGCCTGAATCCCATGCATCTCAAGCTAAACTTTGTTAGGACTTACTAGCCAATKGTACATTTACATTCACTGCCAAACAGGATCTTAGAGCACCTCAAGGACTGCATAGATCAAAGCTCAACAAACTGCAGCCCGCAGGCCACATCCAGCCTGCACTTATCTCTGCAAACAAAGTTTTGCAGAAGCACAGCCATGCTCATAAACTTACAGGGTGCCAGTGCTTTCCCTCTGCCAGGATGGCAGAGACAACTTGATGCAGGAGAGACCCTGTGGTCTGCAGAGCCAGAAACACTTGCTATCTTAACCTTCTCAGAAAGCATTTGCAATTCCTGCTTAGACTATTTGTAAAAGTGGTTGCTTGAACACTTTTCTTTAAGGACCTGAGTATTTCAGGTAAGGTAAAAAAAGAAATGGAGAGTGCCTGTCTGTCCTTATTCTAGGCAGGCATTCCTGAGCTGAGAGGCAGCACTGCTAGGGTCAGGAGTCAACGTTCAAATCCCAGCTCTGCCTGACAGTTGGGCTGTTCTCCTCACTTCTCTGGGCCTCGAAGTCCTCCTCTGTAAAGTGGAATCACCTCCAGGGCTGTCAAGTGAACTGGTCACATCTCACTCCACACGGGGCTGGTACACAGTGAGAACTTACATAACTAACACTCTTCCTATTATGGTGTGACACTGCGCATCCAAAACAAGCCAGGGCAGGCTCTATGTGGTCCCTGACATCCCCCGGGTTCTGTGGTTCTCTGTGGAGGAGATGAGGCCCTCAAATGCCAGATTATGTCCTGATTCAGACACCACAGGAAGCTGAATATAAGTGAGCTGGAGCAAGTCACAAAATGGGAGTCCTCAATCTGTCCCTCTGTGATGTAGGACTAGCAGGACTTCAGTCAGCCTGATGGGTTAAGGMACATGTGGGTTAAGGGGATAAATGGCACAGCCATGCTGACCCCTCAYATACTTTCTTTTGAAAAGCAATTTACCTAGGGCCTTTCTGGCCCTTTTCTGGCTTAAGTCAATAGGATGTTACATTCCTCTACAAACAACCTGTTGTCCTTAGGGCTGTTCTCTCAGGGCCAAGGAATGTAAGATTCCTCCTTGCCAATATGAACACAAGTTATCCTGACTTTCATGACCTTTAAACAGACCAAAGATTCCAGGACTCAAGAAAACAGAATAATTAAAAGCAAAGCCTACCGAGTCTAAATTCGTAAAAATAAGCTGCAGTGAGAACTGTTCAGTGTGGAGCAAAGTCGCTGACACTTGCCTTTAGATCTTCAGCGTATCATCTTAACCTCRTCCTAAGAGAATAGTCCTCCCCACCCCGCTGGGTTCCACTTGGTACCTGTGGGTAAAATCGTGCAGCAGGGATTTAAAAATCGGATGCGTTCCTGCTGTCAGTCAGGAGTTCAGAGGTGGGCCCAGGGTGGGCCTCTCTCAAAACTTCCCTAAAAAACCCCCCAATAAAACTGGGCCACAAAGGGGACGCCATGTCACTTTCCTCTTTGAGACAGTTCATCTCTCCCTGGAGGGCACTGCCTTTTCTCTTCTCATAAACTTTGCTAGACTTTTACTACAGTTCATGTCTTGCTTGGTATCTTCCTGGGCGAGAACCTAAGAGCTGAGAAACCCAAGCCACTAACGGGCTGGGAACTTCTYGGTGCCTCCAGGCCCAATCCTAAGACTCACATAACCACCTTYAGTACAGACAGGAACAGGAGCACAACTCCCGGAGCTGGGAGTCATCGACGACGCAGAGCAAGACGAGCAGGTACTGGAAAGCAGAATGGGCCTGTCCGCGGTGGGATGGCCATTTAGGAGACAAACAAGTCAGCAACAGAGATGGCTCCTTCAAAAACAGTAGACGCAATGAGACTCCGTGCCTTGCCCTTTCCCCACGGGTTCCTCCCTTACCTCACTACGCCACAAGTCCTCCCATCCCTCCCTCTCTCCTCACTGAAAAGTAGGCACTGGGTGTGGTAGGTAAAGAGGAGAACAGCCCCTGGGAGCTTGGCCATCTGAGCCCCACTTTGGAAGCTGAACAAACAGGACTGGTGGGTGGGTGTCGACTACTGGGACCTGGGGGCTGGTCTCTACACCACCAAGGTCAGAGGAATCAGGCCAATATGAGGGGGACCGACCAGGCGTCAGTGTACAGCAGGGAATTAAGATATGTGACAATGTCTGTACCACAGAATAAACCAGAGCACAGCAGCAACTGCAGCAGAGACAAACCTGCAACCTGGCAGCCAATCCCACGGTGGGCCAGAAGAGGCTTGAAAGTTCTCTGCACAGTGGGGCCAGCCCCAAGCTGCTTTTCCTTCAACATTCAGGAGGAATCCTCTTTCTGAAAGTGTGCTCATTCACGGCGATTTGTAACAGTAAAGATCAGTAAAGCTCATAAGCTATCCAGCATCTCAATCTCTAACACCTCTGGGTGTGCCATATGGATGTCTTACTTACCAAGGAGAGAGAGGGCAGACGCCGTACGTCCTCAGTCATGAATCACTGAACGCCACGGCCACATGGGCACCCAAGCCCCGCTCTCACACACCAACGCTTCAAAAAAGAAAGAAAGATCAGTTGGCACCCTCTAAAAGACTCTGCATTCATTGGGTATCAATTCTAGAAAGTTCCATCAATGCCCTTAGAACCAGCACAAGCTACTCCAGCAATGCAAAACCTAGAACACAGTGTCACAGGATGGCTTGCTGACCACCGATGAGTGCCCCAAGTTACTATCACATGCACACACGCGTTTCCTTCTTCAGAAAGGAGACATCAACAACTTGATACTGTTCATCATAAGAGGACAAATGTCATGAAACCTCCAAAAGAACTTGCCCATGTGATGATGACTCTTTCATTTCATCTTTTGAAAGTAAAGTGTTTCCAGAAGAAGATGAAGGCAGGAGGTATGAAAGAAACTATGCCTGAATTTTAGTTTTACATTACTTATATATTAATTTGCCTGGTGCACTATYATGAGAATTATAAATCATACCAACAGTTCACCTGATCAAAACCAATTAAACCTGGTGGATCTCCTCGGTTGAATTAATATATAAAAATCTGGGGAATTGAATATTGCAATGGAATGGAAAGACTATGGCAATTCCAGCCTCCYGCAGGATACATGCACCAAAAGTTGAAATGAGGGACTTCTCAGTTATCATCCTTAAAGGACATGTGTCCATTATCAGTGAGGACACCTGCCACTTCCAACACTGCCCTTAGGGGTTCATGCTTTTGTATCCGTGTTCATCCAGTTCCTTTCTCTCTCTTTACTCTTCTCAGCTGTGGCTTGTGTCCACTGCGCGTGAGAAGCGCACGGATGTTGACCAGCCCCACCCACACACTTAGGGAGCAGCTGAGAACAATGAAGACAAAGCGGAGGGCAGGCTTTCCAGAACATTCTGGCTGTTCTTCCAGACAACGAGTCCCACATGGTCCACTTCAGTAATGACCGAAAGGCCATCAGCCTACAGAAAATAACCTGAATTACAGCTGAAATTTTATGAACTATTCTATCTGCTGAACGCTGACTTGGAGGTCCTGGGGTTCAAAGCAGCGACGCTGCATCTCCATGAGGCTTCCCCATCCAGAGAGGGCTCGGGTGAGTTCATGGGAAGCATGGGGGCGACCCAAGGCAGCATCATCAGTAGGGCCTGCCACAGAGGCACCCAGCAGCCAGGTGTGCTGGGACAGTGCAGCCTCGCCAACACCAAGGTCCCAGTTGTGTCATTGAAAGCCCGTGACATCATCCTTTGGAAAAGACAAGGTGCAGATGCAAATGTTTGAGGCCAAAAGAGAGGTCAGGGAGCTCTTCCCAAGTAAGGATGCACATTCAGTCCGGGAAAAATTCCTGAGAGCAGCCAATTTCTTCTTCACAACATCCCTAATGTCTCCTTTGGGTGTGGCCGAAAAGTATGTCAGTTAGAACTTCATTATTACACAGCATGTTTGGAGACATGAATCTCCTCTCTGGAGCCCTGAAATGTGTTTTATGACAATTAGGACTAAAATTTCCCTGTGTTTGTTTAGAACATAATCAAAATTTAAAGTAATAAGTTTGGACAGAGCCAAAGACCTGGCTCTGTCCTGCCATGGTTACCTGGCAATGTCTGTGAGTTCCCACTTGTCAGAATTAAATTAAAAATAGGGCGGATGGGTTTCCTGTCCTCACCCAGTGAGGTCACAGATGAGCTGGACACCTGAGACAGCTTGCAGAATACAGGCCATTCTCTGAAACAGCCAAGGAGACAAGGCCAAAAGCAACACTGAAAGAATCCCAGGAAGCAAAGAAAGCCAATACTCAGGAAGAGAGATCCCTGCTGAATCCAGGCAGGGGCAGCCAGACAGTCCCAATCTTCAGGTTTCAAAAGCCAGCCCCTTCCTTGAGAAATGCCACCTTGAGGGACCAGGGTTTGGGGAAGTCACAACTGTCCCCAGAAGGTGAAGTCTAAGAAGTTGGTCCCAGCAGCAGGACTCAGGGCAGACACCCTACAGGGTTCTTACTGCACCTATGTCAACATCAAGAAGGATCAGGGGAGTTTACCATCAGGTGAGACAAGGCCACACAAGCAGCAGGTACACCTTCAGCCCTTGGCTGTGCAGGCACTGGCCGGTTACACCCACCCTCCATGCACACCCACAGGTGCACAGGCGGCTGACTCAGGGCAGAAACCGCAGTGCTGCCCTCGGATCTGAACTGAGCTGAAGGATGCAGGACAGTCCTCAGGTAGGACAGCACAGTGCACCTGTCTTCCCTCACTAGGGCCACCAGCGTGCTGACACATAAACCAGGGATCATGGACATTTCTCTTAGAAACTGAGAAGGATGTCAGAAGGTAAAGAAATGCCAAACGTTGGAGGCTCACCTCAACTGGAAGTGGGAATATTGTGAAGCAGGACATTTTTGTCTTTTTTTTTTGGGGGGGGGCAGGGGTTGGGGGCACTGTAGGCCAAGACAGATGGTTTACACGAGTGATGTGGACTTTGGTTAAGGTTTTGTGTCCTGCACACTCAGCCTAACCTCTGGAGGAGACTGAGGTCAGCCATGCAGTCAATCAACATCTCTCTGGTCCATTCCCAATAAAACCCTGGACACCAAGGCCAGGGTGAGCTTCCCTGGTGGCTAAGACTCCACCTGTGTGGTCCTAGAGGAATAAAGCCCTGTCCACAGGAGAGACTGGGGGAGGACRACTGGAAGCTCAAGCCGTCTCTCCTGGGCTCCACCGTATGTAGCTCTGCATTGCTGCTTCAGTGTCCTTCAACTGAGATCAACCATAACCATGAACCTAAGAGCTTTTCTAGGTTCTGTGAGTYCGTCTGGTGGCAATCTTGGGACCACCCAACTGGAAAAGGAAGGATCAAGGGCAAATGTAACGTGTGTGAAAGAAGGCTGGGATAGTGTGCCTAGATGGAGATGAAATACACAGGGAAACAGAGTGTCAGCAGAGGCCTGGGACCCGAAAGTCTTGGGGAACAGAGGCATCGTTTGGAGAGACTGGTCAGAGGCTTCACTGCAAACACAGACAGGGGTCCACACATGGTTGGGGATGCAGTTTGGGGCYTGAAAATTAATGTTTGAAACTTGGAGCTCCAAATGGAATTTCACTTTGGAGATAGGTAGATAGATAGATGCTATCTAAAATAGATTTTTAAATAAAAGAACTACAAATCATAGTCCATTTTTGCAAAACAGTAATCGTTCAGAAAATCAGGGTAGAAACCCAATGTACTAAATGGGGAAGAAGTTCCCTGGAAGTTTCCTGATAACATAAACACCGCAGGATCCAAATTTTCAATCTAGAAATTAAAATACAAACTGARTAAAGGATGAGATTTTTGGTGGCCCCCGAGTGCAGTTCCACTGGTTTGGGGGCAGGGGCTACCAGAGAACCAGCACCCAGAGGTGAGTGGCAGACRGAGCAACCTCTTCACTCTGGCTGTGCACACTGCCCCCTTTCTGTCACTGTCCCCAACCTGGCTGCCCAGGGCTCCAAAAGGACACCTCTTCTTCTTAAAGGAGTGGACAGCACCTGGAGAAATTAACATGTTTAGGGTAAAAAGATGCTGTCATCAGAATACCCCAGTTGTCAAGAAAAGAAAGGGAAGGGTTGGCAACAGAAAAAGAGGAGGAGACAAAGGACCAGGGGAGGACAGAGTGGACAGTGGAGAGAGGGAAGGAAAAGGAAGGACAGACAGGAGGGAAGGAGGGAAACGAGGCCAAGACCAGAAGTAGCCAGCAGAGATACTCAGATTCCAAAATTTCATGACCTTTCTTTTTGAACCTAAGTTGTCATTATAAAATACACTTTCATTGCTCATCTTTAAACTAAAATTTATTTTATGTCTTTGAAGCTTACAACATGATGTCATTGGGGGAATACACCAGGACAGTGAAAGGGAAGTAATGACTGTCACATCATCTCAGTTACTTTTTTTGGTGACARAAGCAGCCAAATTCTACTTATTTAACTAAAATGTAAAATATCATAGAATTTTATTGACTCGGTGTCCACTCTGCCCATTAGCTCTGTCTTACTGAAATGCAGGCAGCCTGAACTCCAGTGAGAGGGAGCTGCCTCCACAGTCCTGAGCGAACATCCCAGGGTTTCAGAGAAGAGCGTGAGGCTGGAGATGGAGCTCAGTGGTAAAGCACTTGCCTTGCGTGAGCAAGGCCCTGGGTTCAATTGGTCCGGGAAAAGAAATTGAAAGGGAAAAGCAAAGCGCACATAAAGCTTGAGGTGAGATAGAAAGCAGAGTGCCCGAGTCGTGGCTGTCCTGAGCTCCAAGGAACAACCGGCCATGTCCTCCTCTGGGCCAACACCAGCTAGCATCAGAGACTCATCCACAGAGTGTGTTCAACTGGATCTCTTGAATGTAAGATTGCTGACCACTTTACACTCAAGACAGGGTCAAGATTCAAATGGAAAAGTCAGCGTTGTTTTAAAGACAGAGATCCCTTGATTTGTTCACAGCACAATCTTAACTTTGAACACTATTTAGCATTGGGATATCTAGAGGCTGAGAGCACAGTTGAGATGTGATGGATTTGCCATGGTGGAGTTTCTCCCTGTAACAGGTGCTCCTTCGCCTCTAGGCTGCTAGCACTAGCCAGCACAGCGTCACTGTGTTACCCAGCCAAGCTCCACGCTGACAAACAGCATCTGGATGACACGGTGCTCTCACGAAAATCCACGTCTGTTCAAACAGTGGAGGATGCAGAAAGGCAGAGATGTCCCACAAACACATGATACAACAAAGTCACAGGACAAGGAGGCATTGAAAATCAAGTCTTGAGACTTGTGATAACAGGACGATTTTGTGTTTTTTTGTTTTGTTTTGTTTTGCCATTTCAGTACAGAATGAGGCCAAGAAGGCATGCCTGGGACCATAGGGATGTGGCAGGTCTCCGCCCTCAAAGAGTTGGTCCTCAGGAATGCCTTCTCCCCAAATCAGAAATGATCTCAATAGTTAGGTCAGGATGTAGGCTGTTTTGTTCTCCAGAAATAATTGATCAAGAACGTTTAATAAAGAATCTGCTTGGTAAT